GGCTCGGGGGCAGGGGGGCAGGTCCTGCTTGGGGTGGGCAGTCACGACGCAGGACCGGCCTGAGCTCAAGGGTGGTTCACCTCCAGGCGAAGCTCTCCCAGGCGGGTGAGTTTGCCTCCGCCCCTCCCTAGCGGGAACATTTGGGACATCTGGCTCTTGGCTGAAGCTTATCAGCTGTGGGGCCTGAGAGAGACCACAACCTGCCCCTCCCGGTCCCTAGGCTCGGCACGCCACCTACGGCATTCGCAAGTGCTTCCTCTTCCTGCTGCAGTGCCAGCTGACTCTCGTGGTCATCCAGGTGAGGTGGGGCCAGCACGGGCATCGCCCCTCCCTGCTCACTCCTTCACTCAAGGGCCGGTTGAGAGGCTGGGAGGATGCAGCACAGCCTGGGGGGCCCCCAGAGCCTCTGTGAACCCCCTGGGCTTTTGGAGACGACCCCGCCAGCAGAATAGTGCCCCCTCCAGCGCCACCTCCTCTCAGCCGGGACGTAGGGGGTGAGTCAGCCCTGGGGCTCCCAGTGTCTTACTCTTTGCCAGAATCTCATCGCGCTTCCTGGCTTCTCCTGGTTCAGTTCCTCTCTTGCCTCGTCCAGCTGCCGCCAATCCTGAGCACCACCGATATCCTGTGGCTGTCCTGCTTTTGCTACCCTCTGCTCAGGTGAGAGGCCAGGCCGCCCCTCCGTGCCCAGGCAGGCAGGGTTGGGATGTCACCAAGTGTCCCCAGGAACCCAGGTTCAGGAAGCCATGCTCAGTGCTCACTTCTGGCACAGGAGGCCCGGGGGCACTCTCCCTTGTCGTATCCCATCTGCCCAGCAGACTTGCCCTCACTCAGGACTCCCGAAGTCCTTCCCACATGAGAATTGGGGGACAGAGGGTCACAGTCACCACCCTTCACTGAAGTTCCTGCTTTTCAGCATCTCTTTGCTGGGGAAGCCCCCCCATAGCTCCATCATGTCTATGGCAACGGGGAAAAACCTTCAGTCCATTCCTAAGAAGGTAAGCAACGTGGAGCCCTGTGAGCCTGGGCTTTTCCTGAGGAATGTCGGTATGGAGGGGGCTGAGCCTTGGGGGAGGGAAGTGGGGGGGGGGAGGAATTCCATCCGAACTTCCCCAGACCAAGGGGGAGGGGTGGTACAGAGCTGGGAAAGATCCTTGCTCCTTATCCCCCGGACCTGCCCGCTGACTGAGGGGCCCGTTGAATCCGCGCGCCAGAGGGGCGGCTGCCACAGCAGTGACGGGCCTCCCCTCCCCACAGACCCAGCACTACTTTCTGCTCTGCTTCTTGCTCAAGTTCAGCCTCACCATCAGCTCGTGCCTCATCTGCTTCGGCTTCACGCTGCAGAGCTTCTGCGACAGCTCCCGCGCCCGTAACCTCACCAACTGCTCCTCCATCATGCTGCCCAGGTGGGTCCCATCCTGACACCCCCGCCCTGGTCTCCCTTCCCGGGGCCCGGAGGAAGCTGAGCCCACACCTTGCTTTGGCAGCCACGCCGACACGGCTCCAGCCTGGCTTGACCACTTCGCCAACGGGCTGCTGTCGGCTCAGAAGCTCGCCGCCGCCCTGACCGTCCTGCACACTGGTGAGGGGCTCCCCGGGACTGGGGAGGCACCCTGGGGACCAGGCCTCTGGCCGTGAGAAGTCTGACACCCGCCACTGACCCCATTTTCTCCAGTCTTCATCTCCATCACCCACGTGCATCGCACCAAGCCCCTGTGGAGAAAGAGCCCCTTGACAAACCTCTGGTGGGCGGTGACCGTGCCCGTGGTGTGAGTCTTTCTGGGATGGAGGGTGGGAGCAGGGGAGTGGCTGCAGCTGGGCTGTGATTTGAGGGTGGGCTTTGGGCCAGAGGTTGAAGGGTGCCCTCCTTAAGCTGTT